CAGGTGTAGCCTCGACGCTATCTTACCTCTTGACATGCATAGGTGATACCGGTGCGCCACAGCCTAATGGCAAATTTCAATAATCGTTCATCAATATAAACTATTTGTGTCAAGTTCAAGTTCAAGTGGGACTGGAACGATCGGATGAATCCCGTAAGTGTTCCGTCTTGAGCGGGTGGTCGATCCAGGAGTTGATAGGGGCGCTCCGACTTCTTGCTGGGTTTAAAAGGAAAGCACCCGAAAAAGCACTTTGGTCCACCAATTTAATGCCCCACGTTCCTTACATTAGCTGTCCCAGCTATGTCAGTTACGTTAAGTAAGAGAGGAAGAAAAAGCGAAGGTAAGAGAGTAGGGGAAATCAGTTAAAATAAGAGAATAATACCAACGACGAGGAAAAGTAAATAAAAATAGAACCGACATATGAAGATGGAAATTAGTCAAGAAAAAGGAAAGGTTTCGTGTTGCCGCCCAAGAGCGTCGAGTTGACGTTCAAACCCCTTAACCGTAGCTTCCTTGACAACACGTTCTGGAAGCAGGTTCCAGCACTAGATGACTCGACGTGATAATACTGTCTCCGCTTTAACTCGATCGGACCGCGGTTGGTCCAGCTTCATACCATGCCCGCGAAGACCAGAAAATCTTGCAAGACTAAATAAATAAATAAACTTTTATTCTCGACCATGCAAAACACACCTTTACAGGCATGAGCATGTTTAGCTAACAGTGTGATCAATAATGTAGCATGGACAAGTCAGGGCCAACCTTCCCAGTCAAAATACGGTAGGTTAGGATTAGGTCCCCTCTAATCCTTCGATAGTGCGTTGACTGCATCCCCAAACTAAGTAGGCGTTCGGGTACGTTTGTCCTCGTAATCCCTTGACCAACCTAGTACCGACACGCAATACTCTTTCTAGTGCCACTTTGTCCCCGACAAGGCATGGTGGACAGGCTTGGACGCAATATTCTAGGTGGGGTCGCACAAACGCTGAGAAAAGCTTCACAAACACATCAGCTGTTCGGGTCCTAAAAATATGACATACACACCACAACCATTGGAATCCCTTACTAGCCGCCTTCTTCCAGTTGTCGCCGGAGTGTAGTGTGGAAGAGTGGACAACGCCTAGATCAACCTGCAGAGTCACGTGAGGAAGTTCATTCTCATCGAGCACATAACTTGTGGAGTTATCAGACGCTTCGATACACATCACTGAACACTTTGCCCGGTTTATTGGCAGCCACCACATGACAGACCATTCCCAGAGTCCATCCAGAGCCCGTAGAGGAGCCACAGGACCTCCTGGGATATCAACGATATTCCAGAGCTTTAGGTTGTCAGCAAATAAGGGCAATGGTACCTCAAGCTCCTCCAGCAAGTCATTCACGTAGACAGAAAAAACAGCGGACCTAGGACAGAGCCTTGCGAAACGCCGCTAAGTACAGCTTGCCGAAACGAAAGACAGCTTCCCACACGAATACACTGTTCCCGTCCATCCAGAAAAGCTGACACCCATTGGAGAGCGCGACCAGCTATTCCACACGACCTCAACTTCAGTGAGAGTCGCGAATAGGGAAGAGGGTCAAAGGCGTTGGCGAAGTCAATGAACACCACATCCACTGCATGTCCACTGTCTACGGCTTCAGCCCAGCCCTCACGAGCTACCAGCAAGTTCGTCTGACACGAACATCCTTTGCGAAAAGAATGTTGCTCGACGTAAAACTGGTTAACCCTGTTTAAATGGTTCTCCACTGTATCTCGTACTAATTTTTCAAGTAACTTAACGACCACGCTAGTCCAGCTGACAGGCCTATAATTAGCCGGTAGGTCTTTGTCACCGCACTTGAAAATCGGGCAGACAACAGTCTCCTTCCATTGGGTAGGCAAGACACGGCTGTTGGATGACTTCTGAAACACAAAAGTCAGATGTCCATTGGGTTCCACTGCCAATTCATGCAACCATTTTGGATGGACGGAATCTGGCCCGAAAGCCTTAGTTGGGCTTACCGCTCTTAGCAACCGGAGAACTTGGGACTCATTTACCGGAATTTCATCCAGAAAACCGTTCTTAGACTCTTGAAGCTAACTCTTTGCATGACCTATTTGTTTCGCGGACAAAGACGCTTGAGTATTGCTTACCGAGTACGCATACCTTGTCATAGTCGCTATAGGCATGGGTCCCATCTCCTCGAAGCAATGGTGGTATGGGCGAGTTTGCACCACAGTCGTTTAACGTAAGCGAAGAATTGCTTTGGAATTTTCGAGGCAGTATTAGCCAAGCCCCTTTCATAATGAAGCCAGGCCAACATAAGATATAGCTTGCGCGCACTTCGAACCAACTGATAATTGTCAAACGTGCTGTGCGACGGAGCTGTTTGGTATGCTCGCCAGCATCCAGACCGTTTCTTTAGCAGGTCCTTCCTCGCGGAATCTATCCACGGGGGCTGCGCTCTGGATTCCCTTCTTCTTACCAGTGAGATGTGAAGTGCAGGTATGTCGACGAGGTGTGCCTTAAGTTTATCCCAGGCTATGTGAACAGTATCGGTCTCAGATATCACACAAAGCGATGACCTAGCCATATCCGCATCTCTCGGAAGTCCGCGACCCAAATGTTCGGATACCAACTGGTAGTAGCACGGCAAGACCTGATGAGAGCACACTAGAAGGACAAACAAACGTGATCGCTAACGCCAAGAGGCGAGTCGTATTTAATGTCATTTACAAAGTCAAGTGACTTAGCAAAAACAAGATCTAAAAGGGACTGCTGCTGATTGCTTATGTACCTAGTGGGGAGGCCTACGAACTGGTGTAGTTGTACCTGCAGCGTCAAGCCAACAGTTCTGTACCGAAGGATTCCAGCGCCGAACTGCAAGATAGACCATCCCAACAAACCTCTGGGAGATTGAAGTCTCCCAGCACCAGATACTTGTTTGCAGAGTGAGTGCGTATAAACTCAATGATTCCAGTGGAGGTACTCATAAGGCTTCTGTACACTAACATGACAGTAACCTGAACCCAGGAAGCGCAAATCAAGACTGCGAAAGTCTCAACAGATTTGTCTAGAGACTGAAAAACGCTGGTCCACAGTACGTCGATGTGATAACTCACATAAAGAGCTACACCACCCCCTTGACGGCCAATGGAGCTGTCAGCGCGGAACAACGCGTAGCCAGGCAGACATACTTCGCCAGCTGTGTTTTCCTCAGACAGCCACGTTTCAGTGAAAGCAAGTATATCTGGACGAGATTTGTCTACGAGCAGACCCACCTCGCGCATCTTGTTCCTTAGGCCACGCACGTTATTAAGTACAAAGTGGAGGGCTTCGGCTCGACCAGCCCTGGGTCGTGCGCAAGTAGTATAGGTTCTGGCAGGGCCGAAAATGACCGCCGGCTGACCACCTGAAAACCCAGCAAGCGGCAACCTTGCTCACCAGCCGCACGCCGGGATTTTAGGTCCCTGATGGCTTCCTTTAACTTTAAGCTAGCAGTTGACGGAAGGTCTGGTTACACACGAACGTTAGTACCTTTGACCTCGAAGGCAGATCTCAGTAAGGCCCTGCGCTCTTCTGGGGTAGATAGAACCACCCTAAGCAGACGGCGTCGAGGATTTGTTTGACCAACCGGAACGTTCCCCAATCTGATGAGCTTCCTGACAGTAACGCCAGGGAAACCTGGTGGTAAAAGCCTGGTCACGCAAACTTTAAGCCAACCAAGATCATCAAGCATGCGCTCGGTGGGAAGAGCGGCGGTGAATTCAGTGACGTTTCTGAAAATCACACCGATATCTGTGTAAGAATCGCCTCGACGAGGTGTATTGACACCACATGCTCTACCATCCACGCCACATGGTTGTTTGACAGGAATCGGTGGGACCGAATGCGACGGCACCTCTTGTCTCACTGAGGGAATTGCAACACCAGGTGGTTTCCAAATCAGGCGCTTGTTTCTTGAGCATTTTAGCAACTTCCGGTTTGGGGGCGGAGGGTTTGCGCGCTTTCCTTTCAGTCTTACGCTTATTCTTCAATGGCCCGGGAGCCCGTGACTCGCCTTCCATTTGGGGCGGGTCAACAATGCCGTCCGAGGCATCTGTGTCAGTTATATCCACGTGAACTGGAGCGTCCGGTAGGATGAACGCCTCGTCAACGGTTGGACTGTCAGCAGAAGGACAGTCCGTTACAGCGTCCACATTCGCAATATTCAGGGATTTCATAATCAAATCCACTTTAGAGTTGAGCGAGGCAAGAGAGGCAAGCTCGGCTAATGCCTTCTCAACAACTGTGAATCTGGACGCTAGTGCTTTGAATTCAGCACAGGTGAAAGCCGGGAGCTTCGCTTTCTGAGCGCAACAATCAGCACATCTAAACAGAAGGTTTTCACTGGATGATAGCATCTTGTACTGATTTGCTCGAAGGCCGGTAAAAGTTTTGTAATACCAACGAAGCAAACATCACACTGCATACCCTCAGATGAACCGTGACTGGCCTTGAACAGGCAGAATTGCTGCAAGCTGTATTTGACTCATCAAACGAAGACGCAAGGGTTCATCCGCCTGGGTTTTTCGCGAGATAACCAGGTTGAGGTGGAAAACAGAGCAGAATTTTAAAACGCGCATAAAACCGTAAAATGACCACAATAGAAAGGCAAAACAGGGTGTAAAACGGGATTAAAAAAGGGAACAACCGCAAAATTACCAGTAAGCATCAGGAAGACGCTTTGGCCAGTACCACTTTAGGCCATCCAAGATATCTTTGATCAGAGGAAATTTGCCAATAGTCAAATTTTCGTTTCAAGTGTTCATTCAAACACTGTTTTCCACGTAATTTCGACTAAAAATCTCGATCAGTATGGTACGCCAAAAAGTCGTGTTACCGCGTAGCACTCACAAGAGGGACAAGTAATTTGAGAAAAATTGATGGCAATGAGCCGTTTTTTATATTTTTATATTAGATAAGTGCATTTACATGCTACAGCTTTTATGAAAAGGCATTTCTTATCGCTAGTCAGATTGCAAAACTCGTGGGACACTACAGTATTTAGCTTAGACTACAAATAACCATGAACCACTAACACGAAAGTCACTTTTTCCTAATTGCATAATCAGCATAGGCTAAATGTTTAGGGGACAGCAGAAGTTCTCTATTTATTATGAATGTGATTCATTCTAAGTTCAAGGCCGTGCCTCCTCTTTACCAATAAGTGGCCTCGTTTTACTTATCTGGCGAGCCGGCTTCAAACGCCAAATGAGCTCTTCGGCCGTGATGTGCTGTCTCGTCTTGGGTGCATGGAAACTGTTACATTCTGAAAATTTTTCGAATCGGAGTTCTGTTATATAACCTACAATGCCAAAAAAGAAGAGCGGCCATAATAAAGGTATTGTCCATCTCGTTTATTTTTCTTACAACAGGTCGCGTCGAAAATGGTTTGGACCCTTTGGAATCGGCGAGTGTTGCCAGTGTCGCGAGTGAGGAGAGTGACGCGCCTACCAGTTTATCGAACGATGTAAGCCTTACTAGTGCCAAATTTCCTACCGTTTTCCGGGGCATCGTTCAGTGGCAGTTAGTTCACTATTATAGTCCATGGCACTGCTTCTCAGCATTTAGTTCTACTATCACTCCTTGTTAGTTTTACTACCGACCTCTTTTCAACTGAAAATATGTTTTGATATCTCATACATTATTACCTTGGAATGGACGTTTCCTAACCGCAATTCTGGGCCCCCATTTTCGTCCCTTTGTTCTTACAGCGGTGACCACGGGTACGGGATATCTTCTTTATAAGAAGCTTCCTGCTTCTGCACGTTACCATTGTCACTTGACGTTGCGCGGCAACTGCTACCCTAGCAGCCCCTGCGCAAACCGTGAAAATAACTGCTTTGACCTACTTTACAGCAAGCGTTTAAGTTCAATATTGTGTGAAATGGCCAACCCCATAAACGTTTCACAAATTAGGAACTACATTGCTTACTGTTACCTCGTCCATTTTCATTTTGATCGCTGTTTCTCTGACGGTTACCCAAAGGCCGGCGATGTACGGTTACCTTTATAGCGCAACGCGAAGACAGCTGCTGGTAATCAAGAACCAACAGTGGTAGGCAGTAAAATCGTTTATTAATTTAGCCTATGTACAAGGTGTCTGGACTATGGCTATGGCGACACCTATACACCAAGCTAACTATGGGATCCTATTCAAATTCTGAGGCAGAAACAGTAGGATAATCTCTTGAATGTTCCATTATGACAGCGTCGTTGATCCAGGATAGAGTTCGACGAATCGATTTGGGTGAGTCAAATAGGCAAATGCATATCAATGACCACGTGTCCTACACTAGCAGCCCCCACTGTGCCGATCAAGTGAAGTAGAACAAAATTTGGTAGAAATATAAAGAAGGAAACGCGCCAAAGTATGGTTGCACAAGTGTGGCCCTGAAAAAATACGTTAGCTGAAAGTAGGCAACGGAAATCAAGAGGGATAGAGGTTAAAAATTATAGTGGAAGGTTTGTAGCTGCAATCCAAGGGCATCAAATGGGCATTTGAACTTTTACAGTTGACGCAAGTTGCACTTATTAAGGCAGAGCATACCAATCGTTTATTACCCTACGTGATAACCGGGTGTCAGCTCTGACTCGATCAGATCGTGGCTTCTGAAGCTTCCTTAGGTGGTCAAGTAGGTTTGGCATTTTACTTGTCAAGAAAAAGTGTGACAACTTCAAAGTCAATTTGACCCGTCAATACGCAATAGTTGAGCATCATATCTCCCCGCCGACGTCGATACTGTGGCGAAAAACGTCAAACTATGCATTCGGTTAGGGTATCACATGTTTCTCAACCCATGAACCATTGTAATACGGACCCTCAAATCTCATCATAATCATCAACAGCAGTACATCAGCCATTTGAACTGATGCTTCGCTGCCATACAACCATGAGGACCTATGAAATAAAGAATAAGAAGAGGGAGAGAAAGGGGCTTTACCTGCAAGCCTTAATGCTCTAAACAAACATTCTGGGTCAAGGCGCCTACACCTTGTGTAGACAACATACCATCACAAATAGCTGGCTATCGTGCAAAGATAAGGCGGCATCGGCGAGACAGCTTCCTTGCGGCTTTCACTGCTCCGCGTCATAATCAGCCATTACCCCGCAGATAACTCAGCACCAAACAGACTTTAAACAGGCAATCCGATTAGAAGACGGCAGCAGACGCGCCACTGGTGTCGGTTGCGAGCCATGTCCTGCAAAGTCTCGAGCCAAGCACAAGGCGAGTCACGTGAACTCCAGCCCGGAAGGCGAGACGGACCAACGACACCCAGTTTGGTTGTCAGTGACTTCATTTCCCGCTGCCAAGTCAACTTCTGTCCACCTCGAGCCTTGCGCCACCCTACACCTGGTAGACTGAACAAGGCCCTCCTAGGTAAGCGGTGACCAGGCATACGTAGCACGTGCCCGAGCCAACGTAACTTATTCAGTGCTATCTGTTGTTCTAGGGAGCTAGCATGATTATCACACCTAGTACTCGCCTACGCACATCATCGTTGCGGACACGCTGGTGCCATCCGACACCAGCAATGCTTCGCAAACAACGATGATCAAAGACTTGAAGGCGCCTCAGATCTTCAGACCGAAGGGGCCAAGTCTCACTACCATAGAGCAGAACGGCCCTCACTGTGGCCTTGTATACCCGGCCTTTCAGACGGAGGGAAACTCCCTTCTGTCGCCAAAGATGACGCAGGTTCAAGAAGGTAGCTCTGGCTTTGCAATGCGTGAGCTCACGTCAGTTTCTATGCGCCCATCATTGCTGATGCAGCTGCCAAGATAAGTGAAATGATCAACCACCTCGAGTTCCTCGTTAGCAAGCGTCAAGGGATCCTCAAGTGGCTAATGGTCCCGCAGCAACACTTTGCACTTTGAAGGTGCGAAGTGTATACCAAATAATGGGACCACTCTGGATAGGCTATTCAGGGTTGATTGTGCCGCCTCAACATTGTCGAAAAGCAAGACGATATCGTCCGCATAATCTAGATCAATTAACCTTTCACCAGGCAGCACTTCAACACCTACATCATTGGATTCCGTAAGGGAACACTCCATGATAGAATCCACGACGAAATCGAACAAAAATGGGGAAATCGGACAACCCTGTCGAACGCCACTTGTAGTCGAAAAGCTATCCGATAGGACACTGTAGACCCTGACGCGGCCTGTAATGTTCGAGTATAGAGCACGAAGGATGTTCACATATTTCGTGGGAACACCTTTCCGCACAAGTATTTCGAACAGAATCGATCGATCGACTGAATCGAACGCACCCTTGAAATCGAGGAACACAGCTATTGTCGGTCTGCGGTATGCGTGGCGCTGCTCCAGCTCCTGCCGCAAACTAAATATATGGTCTATACAGCCACGTCCTTGGCGAAAACCGGCCTGCTCTTCCATAATCCGAGATTCCCGTTCTGCAGTGAGGCGACGAACGATAATCGAGGCCAGTAATTTTGTCACAACTGGCGTTAGGCTAATACCCCTGTGGTTCGCACAGTCTGTGCGACTGCCCTTTTTTATATTGCCACTATAATCGATTCGCTCCAATTAGCCGGCACACTCTCTTCGTTCCAGATACGTTCGAATAGGGAGGTCAGTGCTTCGCAGAGGACCACACCTCCATCCTTAAATAGTGCAGGTGGGACGGAATCCGGGCCAGCGGCACGAATACAATTGAGGGCTGTGATCGCGTTTCGGACCTCGGCCTCCGACGGAGGCTCTAAACTAACCGTCCATTGCTCATCCTGCATCACCTGAGTAGGAAGAGGTCCGGGAGCAGGGGGCCAGCTGAACTGATGTTCAAAGTGTTCAGCCCAACGAGCCATACGGCGCTCCTTATTGTGTATCATCGCACCCGCGCTGTCTCTGATTGTCTCACTGACGCCTGGTTTTCTGGGACCAGTGTTGCGGATTAGCTGGAAGAGCTTCCGGTAATTGCCTACTGCTCCTGCTTCCTCCATTTTTAAGCCCAACTGGTCCACTAAGCTTCCTTCTCAGCAGGTAGCCTCCGCTTTAATTCGCGCCTAATAGCCCGTCTGGTCACATTGTGTTCAGAGCGAGCCGGGACGTTTCTTCTAGCTTCCAAAAGGTTCACGGACCTCTCGGATATCCAGTGACTGGTGCGATGACGACTGATAGTGCCACAAGCAGATGCTCCTGCGTCGTGCATAGTGGCCGAGATCCTATTCCACTGAAGTGCAGTGTCATTAGGACAAGACAGCGAGAGTTCGGTATGCAGTGCTTCTTGATAGGCTTGCGTGACCGAGGGCTAAGACGATTTCTCACTTGCCAATCGGGGGAGACGCTTTGTGCGCCTTCCGGTAAAGTTCATGGAGAAACGACAGCGCACAAAGGCATGGTCAGAGTCGACACAGGTACTCCGGTATGAGCGGCAATCCAGAATGGAACCGCGCCACCGGTAACTTATGGCTATGTGGTCAATTTGGGTCCATCGCTGACCAGCTACAGGTGGACGCCAAGCGGCACTTCGGCGCCCACTGTGTCTAAAAGCAGTGCTACTAAGAAACAACTGGTGCTCCGCACACAGTCGCAGCAGACGCTCGCCGTTGTCAGTCCGTTCGGCGTTAAGTCCATACTTGCCACCCAGCTGAGCTTCTGACGAGCTCAGACGCCCTACTTGTGCGTTCATATCCCCTGCAAGTACTATAATATCTGAACTAGTAGCACTGCGTAGCAGCATGTTCAGTTCGTGATCAAATGTGTCTTTGACTGCATTAGAACTGCAGTCCGTGGGAGCATAAGCAGAAAGCACAAACAAACAGCGTTTTGTTTTACTTCGCGAATTCACCTTAGCTGATGTCGTCAAACGGGCTGCACACAAACGGCTGTTCACCGGAATCCAATCAACCAACCATGACTCAGCCTTGGAGCTGAGAATGATACCTACACCAGCTTGACCCATGAGTGCCGCATCGGCGTCTCCGGATGCGTGCAACCTATAACGAGAAGATTGGAATATAATATTACAATGATTGCTTTTACCAGTGAGTTGAAAGACCGTTAGGTCCATGACGTCTGACTGCGCTGGGGAGAGCACAAGTTCCAGGATATGAAGCGACTGGCCGGCGAGAATACAAGTAGGCATGGAGACATATTGCTACAGGCTGCAGTCGAGAACGGTTTCACGGATAGTGGCATCAAAGGAATCAGGTGGATGATTGCAAAGAACGATGTCCCATTCGATAGTAGGAGCATTAAAATCTCCCGGTATAAGGTACTCCTTGCAGCACCGTGCTTTTTGATCAGTTCCAACAGGCGAGCTCACGCGCCCAGCGGCGCGCTGTAGATGACACCAATCAAGAAGGATCTGCACCCGTCATGAATGCGACACCAAAGGGCATCAAAATCGCTGTCATTGTCACATGAGACCTCAACTAGATGGGACTTCAGATCCGCTCTCCAGTATAGTATTACGCCGCCTCCCGACTTCCTCCCATGACGAT